ACTCTAATCTGGGAGGACCGGGTTTGATTCCCCACTCCTCCACTTGCACCTGGCTGGATGACCTTGGGCAAGCCGAAGTTTTGATAAGAGCTGTTCTTGAAAAAGAGCAGTTTCTGTCAAGAGCTCTCTCAGCCCCACCTACCTCACAGGGTGTCTGTTGTGGGGAGGGGAAGGAAAAGGAGTCTGTAAGCCGCTCTGAGACACCTTTGGGTAGTGAAGGGCGGGGTATAAATCCAATCTCTTCTTCTTCTTCTAGAAAGACCTTTGAGAACTACTGCGAGTCTGAGTAGGCAACACTGACCTTGACAGACCAATGCTCTGATTCGGTATAAGACACCCCATGCTCAATAAATACACCCACTGAAGATACATAACGTGGAAACCACCAGAATGAGCGTAAGAAAATAAAAGTAGTAGGGCGGAAGAAAAGGAAAACGTAATAAGGGCTTTTTTGACCTTCCTAGGGCTTAAATGTTAATTTCATGCTCTTAGTTCTTCTCTGCCCCACGCACAACAAAGTGTTTTTATGGATGATGCACACCATAGTCCTGTTCCTTATATGCCTAAAGGAATCAGATGCTTGGATTTTTCCTTCTCCTCAGCTTGACAGGATTTGTTTAGGGCGATTCCTAGCCAATCTCCTCCTCCCTAAGCAGGATTCTTTGGACAAGCCGTCTGCCAATGTGATTTTAGAGCACATGTTTAGAGATCCTAAACTGAGGCACTAATCCTCTGAATCCCAAAGCCAGAACGTCAGGGGAAGGCCTCAGTCTCTACGCCCTGTCGCTGGCTGTCCAGAGGAACTGGTTGACCATCATGTGAGACGGGATTCTGGACGAGATGGATCACTGGTCTGATCCAACAGGGCTCTTCTGACATTCTTATGTTGGTGGATAACCACGGCCAAATCTTTTTTGAGGAAGGGCTACGGCTAGCAAAATAACCAACGTTGCCAAAAGGTGCTTTGCATGCCACAAAAAAAAGACATGAGCCTTCGTTGGGGAGGGGCTATGGCTCAGTGGTAGAGCATCTGTTTGGCATGCGGAAGGTCCCAGGTTCAATCCCCAGCATCTCCAGTTAAAAGGAATTAGTGCCTGGCCAGGACTTGGAAGAACACCAACATGGGGGGGGGCATAAATTAACAGAAAAACAATACAACTTGCAGGTCTGTGGCTGTAGAGCATCATGCTGAAAGAAAGCAAATCAGGGAGCTAGTTCTATCATCCACTGATGCCAAGGAGAAGGAATTTTTTTTAACCCTTAAGAAAAGAGCTCTACTGGATCAGACCAATGGGCCATCTAGTCCAGCATCCTGTCCCATAGAGTGGCCAACCTGTTCCCCCAGAAGTCCAATAACAGGGCATAGAGACCAAAACCTTCATAAGAACATCAGAAGAGCCCTGCTAGATCAGACGAGTGGTCCATCTAGTCCAGCATCCTGTCTCACACAGTGGAAAACCAGTTCCTCTGGAGGGCCAACTACAGGACATAGACGCCGAAGACTTCATAAGAGCCTGCTGGATCAGACCAGTGGTCCATCTAGTCCATCGTCCTGTCTCACACAGTGGCCAACCAGTTCAACTGAAAGTCCAACAATAGGGCATAGAGGCCGAGGTCTTCATAAGAACATAAGAAGAGCCCTAGTGGATCAGATCAGAGGTCCAATCTAGTCCAGTATCCTGTCTCACACAGCTAGTGGATCAGATCAGAGGTCCATTCTAGTCCAGTATCCTGTCTCACACAGTGGAAAACCAGTTACTCTGGGAGGCCTTTGTAAGAGTATCAGAAGAGCCCTGCTGGATCAGACCAGGGGTTCATCTAGCCCAGCATCCTGTCTCACACAGCAGCCAACCAGTTCCTCTGGAGGGCCAATAACAAGGCATAGAGCTGAGACCTTCCCCTGATGTTACCCCCAGGCACTGGGATTCAGAGGTTGACTGCCTCTGAATGTGGAGGGTGCTTAAATGGAAATGCATCATTACAGATACTCACTGCCAAGTTTCAAAGAGGCAGCACAGCCTGTCTGTGGAAGCAAAAGTCGGCGAGAGTCACGTGGCACTCTAAAAGACAAACTGGTTTCTATTTCAGCATGAGCTTCCATGAACATGCGCACATAGGGTCTTCACAGTGAAGACACACACACCATGTAATGCAATGGAAAAAAAATGTTGTGAACTGCAAGATCAAAAGGCCAAGAAATGCAGGGGAGAGGTAATCACACAAATTCAAATGTAAATCAGGTACCACCGAGACTCTCACAATAGCAGTGATTGGTGATGAGGCAGTCTGTCTTGTTTTGCTAAGCTGATTAATACCTATAATGGCTGAGTAATCCCTTTGCGTAGTTCTCCATTTTTAAACGGAGTGTTCGGTCAGAGCAAAACACCACTACTCCGCTTTTCAACTTGTTTTTCAGATATCAGATAATACCAGGATCCCTGCCTTGGTCGCTTTAGGACGATTCTGTATCTACCCATAACAGAAGGATGAGCTCTGGAATGCATAAGGAAAGTATGTGCTTACTGAATATAGTGAAGACATGGCGTTGTTGAGGAAGTCATCTTCCTTTTTCGGAGGCGTGACTGTGTTCCCAAACCCCACGTAGCGATTCTCTTGGCCGCTGGAAGGAGACACACAAGGGGGGGGGGATGAGCAAGCGACTTGTAATTGAAAGACACTTCCATTCGCACACGTACTATTAAACCAAATGAAACCTGTACCTCACATTTCAGAATCTGTAATGGGACATCCAAAACCAGGACTCTGCTGGACTGCCCTTCTCCAAAAAGGGGGCTCCCGGGCCCCTTTCCTCATGGGACTCTGCATTACCAGTGGAGTAACTGTGTACTGTCCTGGTCATCACATCTCAAAAAGGGTATTATAGCTTTGGAAAAAGTGCAGAAAAAGGCAACTAGGATGATAAAAGCATTGGAACACTTTCCCTATGAGGAAAGGTTAAGGCGCTTAGGGCTCTTTAGCTTGGAGAAACGACGACTGAGGGGTGACATGATTGAGGTTTATAGGATTATGCATGGGAAAGAGCAGGTAGAGAAGGAGGTACTTTTCTCCCTTTCTCACAATACAAGAACTCGTGGGCACTCCATGAAATTGCTGAGCGGTCGGGTTAGAACGGATAAAAGGAAGTCCTTCTTCACCCAAAGAGTGATTAACACATGGAATTCACTGCCACAGGAGGTGGTGGTGGCTAAAAGCATGGATTGCCTCAAGAGGAAATTGGATAAACATCTGGAGCAGAGGTCCATCAGTGGCTCTTAGCCACAAGGTATAGCTAGGAACTCTCCATCTGGGGCAAGTGATGCTCTGTATTCTTGGTGCTGGGGGGGAGCAACAGTGGTAGGGCTTCTAGTGTCCTGGCCCCACTGCTGGACCTCCTGATGGCACCTGGTATTTTTGGCCACTGTGTGACACAGAGTGCTGGACTGGATGGGCCATTGGCCTGATCCAACACTGGCTTCTCTCATCTTCTTGTGTTAAGGGGAAGCAGTCTCACTGAACAACGCAAGGGACTGCTAAGGCTTACACAGCTGGCCCGTCGGCCATGTCTACCAGCGGGATGGATCCTACGGAGCAGGCTAGAGAGTCACTGCAGTAGCAGGAAGGAAGCTGGAGAACTTAAGATGGGTGGCTCAGCAGAAGGCAGAGAGCAAGGGATGGCTGGAGAAGGGAGCCTCCCCCATGCCGTGCCATCACAGCAATCTTACATTCCTAAGTGCATGGCAATTTATGGGGTCAAAGACTATATTACACACACCAGCACATTTCTTTCCCCTATGCTTAAAGAAAAAAACCCTGAAATTGCAAAGGTCGCAACTGGAAGAGTGACTTTGGGAAGGGCTGTAGGAAAGAACAAGAGTCCAGTAGCACCTTAAAGACTAACAAAATCTGTGGCAGGGGAGGAGCCCTCGGGGGCAGTGAGGTTTCCTGTCTCCTTACCAATACTGATTTCTCCAGGCCTCCTACCCCCCTCTGCATATTACACCTAATCCAATCACGCCTGCAATTGTCATTCGGCATCTGAAATCACTCACATACACTCACATCCTAACTGTATCTGAAGAAGTGAGCAGTGATTCACCAAATGCTCATCCCCGCCACATACTTTGTTAGTCTTTAAGGTGCTGCTGGAGTTGCTCTTCTGCTGCTGGAGTCTTGCTCTAGGAATCTTTGGTGTGGTGGTTAAGTGTTAAGTGTGCGGACTCTAATCTGGGAGAACCGGGTTTGATTCCCCACTCCTCCACTTGCAGCTGCTGATGTGACCTTGGGTCAGTCACAAGCTCTGGCACAGCTGTCCTTGAAAAAGAGCCGTTTGTGTCAGAGCTCTCTCAGCCCCACCCACCTCACAGGGTGTCTGTTGTGGGGAGGGGAAGGGAAAGGAGTTTGTAAGCCACTCTGAGATTCCGAGTGAAGGGCGGGGTATAAATCCAATCTCTTCTCTTCTTCTTCTTCTAAAATTTGTGCCGGGGAGGAGCTTTCGGTGAGTCACTGCTCACTTCTTCAGATACAGCTAGGATGTGAGACCCTCTGTGAGTTCAGATGCCGAATGACAATAGCAGGTGACTGACAATAGCAGGCGTGATTGGATTAGGTGTGATATGCAGAGAGGTAGGAGGCATGAAGAAATCAGCATTAGTAATGAGACAGGAAACCTAGGTCTCAATCACTGCTACTGGACTCTTGGCTCTTTTCTACTGTGACAGACTAACACGGCTCCCCCATCTTGATTTATCTCTTTGGAAAGGGCTCTTTCCTTTCCTAATGCTCGTCCTTTCAACCATGTCCTCCCAGCCGAGCCCGCTTTCCGATGCGCCCAAGGCAAGGGAGGTCTTAAACCTTTTCCAACATTCTGGGCTAAAAAGACACTGGTAGGGTTGGAAGGCCAGCGGCATTATTACTCCTAACACCTCGGGGACCAGGGTGTTTTCTGCCGAAGCGAGGGTTGCCAAGTCACTGCCTGCCCACCGGCAGGTTCGGGGGCAGGTCAAGACAGTGCATGTGCCACCATGTCACTTTCAGTGAAAACTCTGAAGTGACACAGGGTAGCTCTAGGAATCACCCTAAACTCTGTGGTAAAACCACAGCATGTGACATCTCCACCTGGGGAACCAGGGTGTGATCTGCCTAAGCGAGGGCCAAGATAGTGCCTGTGCCACCAAGTCACTTTCAGTGAAAACTCTGAAGTGACACAGGGTAGCTCTAGGAATCACCCTAAACTCTATGGTAAAACCACAGCATGTGACATCTGCATTTTTTTAAAAAAAGCTGGGGTGGGTCCCCCACCCCACCCCACCCCACCCACAAGGGGAACAGTAAACCCAGCAGAAGCCGGGGCTTGACAAATCCCAGGTCACCAGGCTGCCTAGAAATTTCATTGTGGTGCAAGAGATCGTATTGGAGTAACAACTCTCTGTTCTCTGTGGAAGTACAAAGAGGGGGGTTCCAGTCAGTTTTCCCAGTGGTGAAAGGAGGAGGAAGGAGTCCCTTTTGACCACCAAAAGGCTACATCTGCGATTACAGGATGCGCATATGACAAAAGCCACATGGAACGGAGACTGTAATGAGAAGGGGAAATGGCCACGAGTGAGCAGAAGAAAGCCGCTTGGATCCAAACCCAAAGCTTATTTAGCGTTTCACATTAAAATGTTTTGTTATCCAACATGAACATAAATATCTGCTCCTTCATATATAAAACTTTACTTTACACCGGGGTGGTGGATGAATTCATTTTTTTTTTAATTGCCCACATGTGGGCAAAGTTTTAGTGTTTTAAACGTTACAGAAAAGAAAAGAAAAAGAGCAGTACATTTTAAAATATCTAGCCAAAAATCTCGCTCACATCATCATGTTTACAACTTTGAGAGAGAGAAGTACAAGGTGGAAATTTGTTTGACTTGGCATTGTTAGTGAGGGAGATGAGATTGTGGGGAAAATATAAATGACTATGTTTAGGCTTGAAAGCGAATTGTGTCAAAATATGAAAGAATATTTAAAGGGACAGGAGTGTTAACACAGAAGAAATATATACTTTAATTAGAAATGTCAATTACTCAGATGAATTCATTTCTTAACCACTTACTTTCCATACTGGTTCCAATATTCAATTAAACTGAACTTTGCAAGGCAGTAGTGGAATTACGAGAAATCCGGGAGAAGCTGGGCTAGGGTCAGGGGCTAGCTTTTCATTGTGGCGACGACAACTGGGGTAAGTCCTATATTTATTTATATGCTGTAACACTTGTAGCTTTAGTAAAGTTACAGAAATCAGCAAAGATAGTAGAATCGGGTTTGGGGTAGCCATAATTAGGAAAAAACATATTATAATACGAAACGCTGAAAGCCAAAAAGTGAGTTTGGCTCCTAAAGTTTTGGGCTGGCTTGTAGAGCCAAAAGAACTCTGCCTAGGCCTGGCCTAAGCCAGGAAGTTCATGAACGTATATGAACACATGAAGCTGCCTTATACTGACTCAAACCCTGGGTCCATCACAGTCAGTATTGTCTACTCAGACTGGCAGCAGCTCTCCAGGGTCTCGCAGGCAGACATCTTTCCCATCACATACCACCCGATCCTTTTAGCTGGCAGTGCCAGGGACTGAACCTGGGACCTTCTGCATGCCAGGCAGATGCTCTCCACTTGAGCCACAGACCCTCATGGCTTAGGAGCAACTCATATTTTTATGTGGCATCTGACATGCCTACATCTGATCCACGGAACACCATAGAGTATGAAGGGATGTGAGCCGGGCAGTTCCAGCAATCTTACATTGCTAAGTGTATGGCAATAACCTACTTTAATTCTTCTCAATTTATGGCCGACAGAAGCTCCTCCCGAATCCACTAAATGGTTGATAAATATTTTGCTTACTGCAGCAAAAATTATCATAGTGACTCAATGGAAAGACAAAGCTAAGCCTGGTTTAGAAAAATGGATACATAAGGTTTGGGACCTCTTTATGTTAGAAAATTTCAATATCTTTAACACAGAATTACAAAATGAATGTGAAATTATGAGTCCACTCAATATTTGGTACCCGGTTCTAGATAAAATAGATATAGATAAATTTGATTGGGAAACAATTAAGACGGCTAAATTTAAATTGTTATTATATAATTAAGTAACATACTTGTTATAAAATTTACGTGTGTATGTACCTGTTAGTATAAATTCTATTTTTTTATTTGTATAAGTGCAACATCTTATGACTTTCTTGGTATCTGTTTAAAAGTTGATTGTAATGGGAAAAGTTTAATAAAATTTAATGGGGAAAAAAAAGTGTATGGCAATAAAGCGGGGTGAGGCGCTTGCCACTGGCAACCAAATATGCAAACCCTCGTGTCTGAATGAGCTAAGATTTTACCCTTGGTAAGAGCCAACGTCGTCATTCAACCAGTCTTCAAAGGCTTTGTCAGAAGATGCACCGGCGTTCTGGGGTTGTCCAGCGGAACTTCTGCAACACAGAATTAAGAACGTGATGAAATTAACTTAAGGGGGAGAAAATTAAAGCCTCTTTGTGCCCTTCTAAAAGCACAGGTTAACTGCGTTAATCACAGGGAGGATCGCTCGATACAAACAGAGTAAAACCTTCTCCTTATTTTTAGAGACAGTATTTTGTTGCCAGTAAGATCAGACCAGGCAGCCTCTGAATTTGGCAATTCCACTGCACATCTGTGTGTGTGTTAAGTGTCAAACAAAGAGATGGTCACAGTCCAGAGAACTCACAATACATGAATCATACAACTGTGATGAAGAAGCATTCACACTTTTTTATCTAAAGATGTTATACACAACATTAATTTCAGAAGTGATTATTACAGGAGATAATATAATGGAAACAGAAGCGAAAAAGCGGGACGGTGGTCTCCGGATTGGTGCTGCCGTTTCGACAATATGTCTTCCTCTGACTGAAAATTGTGCCAGTCAATGCAAAGTATGGAGTTCCTCAAGCAACAAAAAAATGCCTATTCATGAGTTTTCTCTTATAGCTTGAGAAGCAACATCTCTAATTCTAGAAAAAGTTCTCCCAAAACGGCTGAAGTCAAAGCTTACTACAAACTACAGGATAAAGAAACAGAACCACTAAAAACCCAAGAGATGGAGGTCATATACAGCTTAACATCAAGATAATAGCTTTTTAACAATTACTTTTGGACAGTGAGAGTGATCATTCATCGTCATCGCTTATATATTGACAAAACCACCAAAACTGTTGCATGTTGTAGGGCTGTCTTTCGGCCGTGTTCGTGCAGAGTGCAGGGGGCTGGACTAGATGACCTGCAAGGCCCCTTCCAACTCTGACATTCTGTGATTCTATGAATTAATGATCCCCAAAACGTCCTGTTGGTAACAGCCTCGTGCAGGTCTTGCAACCTGAGGGCCTTTGTGGCTTCCTTGATGGAGTCCATGTCCATCCATCTCGTGTTGGGTCCTCCTCTTTTCCTGCTGCCTTCAACTTTTCCTAGCATTCTTATCTTTTCCAGTGACTGTCGTCTTCTCATAATGTGACCAAATTACGATAGCCTCAGTTTAGTCATCTCAGCTTCTAGAGAGAGTTCAGGCTTCTTTGGTCTAGAACAGTGTTCCCTCTAAGCTGAGTTAGAGTGAGCAAGCTCACCATTTTTTAGCCTCCGGCTCATACATTTTTTGCCTTAGCTCAGGAAGGACGGCTCCAGAGCAAACTAATTTATGCAGGAGCCAAACTGCCCGCTCGCAACTTTAATGCCAGTGGTTCACAAAGTAGAATTTTTGCTCACAAGACTTTGCAGTTTAGAGGGAGCATTGGTCTAGAACCCACTGATCTGTCTTTTGGGCAGTCCACGCTACCAGTAAAACTCTCCTCCAACAGCACATTTCAAAGGAACAACTTTCCTTCCTGTCAGCTTTCTTCACTGTCCAATTTTCACACCCGTACACAGTAACGGGGAATACCATGGCATGAATTAACTTGAACTCGCGACTGGCGAACAAGCAGGGTTTTCATTTCCAAGAAGCTAGTGGCTCATGGCAACTTCAGTTCAATGGTTCCTACTTCGCCAAACTTAGCAAGCCACTGAGGGCAAACAATCTCTCTCTATTGGTAGCAACAAATGAAAGTTTCGTTTAAGATATACTATCCACATTCCCCACTAAAACGCACCACAATCTTTCAAAACATAAACCATTAAAATATCTGCCAACCTGTGTAAAAGTTCGGCTAGTAGCTCCAGCACCACATTTTAGAGGAACCACCTTCCTTCCTTTCAGCTTTCTTCACTGTCCAATTTTCACACCCGTACATAGTCACGGGGAATACCATGGCACGAATTAACTTGACCTCGCGACTGGCGAACAAGCAGGGTTTTCATTTCCAAGAAGCTAGTGGCTCGTGGCAACTTCAGTTCAATGGCTCCTACTTCGCCAAACTTAGCAAGCCAGTGAGGGCAAACAATCTCTCTCTACTGGTAGCAACAAATGAAAGTTTCGTTTAAGATATACTATCCACATTCCCCACTAAAACGCACCACAATCTTTCAAAACATAAACCATTAAAATATCTGCCAACCTGTGTAAAAGTTCGGCTAGTAGCACATTATAACACAGCACTTCAGACCATAAAAGCAGAGCAGAGATTTAAAACGCCATGAAATGGCAGTGCCGATTTTATGACTCGCTATGAATTTAAGCCATCGCGAGAGGGAGGGCAGGGAGGGATGAGCCAGCAGCTCTTCCTTCTACGCCCGAGGCAATGCCGATCGCCACGTTGGGGGCAGGGAAGGAATTTTCCTTCAGGCCAGATGGGCTCTGGGATCTTGGAGTTTTTTTGCTTTCCTCTGGGCACAGAGCAGGGGTCACTGGGGAGTGGGAGGGGGTAGCTGTGCATTCCCTGCACTGTGCAGGGGGTTGGACTAGATGGCCCTTGGGGTCCCTTCCCAGCTCTATGTTTCTATGAAACAACAGGTTAGGGAATAAGTAAGAGTAAATAGCAGTTAACATTTAAAAAAACAAAACCCTCAATATAATGTAATACCTGGTTTTTAAAAAAATCACCACCTGGGCCTGGCACCTAAACCAGGTGATACACTTACAGAACAGGTAATACAGTTACAGAACTGAGAGCCAGTGTGGTGAAGTGGTTAAGTGCGCGGACTCTAATCTGGGAGAATCGCGTTTGATTCCCCACTCCTCCACTTGCAGATGCTGGATGACCTGGGGCAAGCCATAGTTCTGTCAAGAGCTGTTCTCTCAAGGGCAGTTTCTGTCAAGAGCTCTCTCAGCCCCGCCTATCTCATGGGGTGTCTGTTGTGGGGAGGGAAAGGGAAAGAAGTTTGTAA